TGTACGGGATTAGTCCCAAATTTTGTACTCTAAAGTACTAGATGATTTCGAGACATCATGTATAAAGTCTAGAAAGTCTTCCGCTTGCTATTTTTTTTATGCAATATTTTCTTTACCTTAAATTCCTTATGGTTTTAGTGTCTATACGATGAATGAATACTAAGAGGCTTGTATTAGACTTCTTCGAGGTCGAGTACGCCGGTTACGACTAGGGGGTGCTCCCGGGTCGTGACAATAACTCCTAGATCAGGATGAGTTAGGTGTAGTTTCAGTTATGTTTGCGAATCTTGTGGAATGATCTTTCCAACGCCGCCAAGTTTGCTCGATTCCGAGTTCGTATGAGTGAGTTATTCCCTTTGAAAGTTGGGCTGTTGGCAGGGCAGTCAACCCGATTATTGTAAGAATATTTTGGTCTTTTCCCTAACCAATTCTTTTGGTTATTTAAAGGGTCCAAGCTGATTTTTAGATCAGTTTTTCCCTTTTTAAAAGAGTGAGAGTGAGGGTTTGTGAGTGAAGAGGAGAAGAAGAGAAGAAAGAGAAGAAGCTAGATTCGTCAAAGATCATCGTGGTTTTCGTCGGGGGTGATCCCTATTAAGGTATGTGAGATCATAGTGTTGGGTTGGTTCATTCCCCCACACGCCAAACTCGTTTTAATTCCGAGAAAAGATTGGTTGTGTTGTTGAAATTTGTGGTTGTGTGTGTTGAAGTTGTTGGTTGTGTTGTTGAAGTTCCTTGTTGTTTTGGGACATGTTTCCGGTTGTGATTTCGAGTTGAATCTAGTGTATGTTGAGGGGTTTTATGATTCTAAGTGTTTGGGGCTGGAAACTTTGAAGTTAAGAAGGTTTAGAGTTGGAAAATCAAAGGGGAAAAGTCAGATTTTCGGGGAAAGGGTTGGGGCATTGCGCCTGCCAGCGCGCCCCAAAAGGGACTCTGAAGCCCAGCCTTTAGGGCGGCGCGCCTAGCAGAGCGCCCAGTAGGCCTCTCTGAAGCTTGAGGGCTGGCGCTCCGCACCTCTCAGAGCGCCAAGGACGCCAAGTTTTCCCTTTCATTCCCTACTTTTTCATATATGTTCCTTGGTAATGTACCTATGTTTTATAGTTGTTTTCCACACTCCAAGGTACGTCTAAACGTCAAGAACTCATCCATAAACATGAGATCATTACCCTCGAATCCATACTCCAATTCGAGGAAAGTTAGGATCAAGTCAAGTGAAGTTAGAGTCAATCTTAGAAGTTAAGAAGCAAGTCAAAGCAGGTTTTCAAAGTTGTTCAAGAGTCTTTATTAAACGTTTTAACTTCGTTTTAAGGCTCAAGTTTCAAATTAAGTAAAGAGTATAGAGTTTCAAGTTAAGCCAAGAGTATAAAGTTGAGTTCATTTCTCAAAAGTTATTAGGGAACTATGTATTCCCAAAGAAGTTTTAAAGGAATGTTTTCACATTTAAACAAGATTGGAAACTGAGATTTCCCAAGAGCCTTCGGGAAAGTTTTCATAAAGAAATAGAGGAAACTGAGATTTCCAAGATAGCCTTTGAGCTAAGTTTTTGAGTAATTATCTCATATCAGCAGGAAGAAAATGTTTTTAAAAATATAAGAGCCAGTACATTTTTGGGAGTAGTATTGAGCACCGAATTGGAGGAGCGTTCAAAGAATACACAGCCCCCATAGAACCATGTAGCCATCATGGGTAGAAGAGGTTCATACTTTTTAGATGAATCATTTTCAAATTAGACTAGTGGATCCATTAGGTAGTTCAGGTCCTATACCTTTGGCCGGGTATAGGATGCTCTGGCAGCGTGAAGTTGATCGATGTATCATCACTATAGCTCTTATGTGATGGTTTTCTATTAGAGAAACTCCCACAGAAATTATTGTATTTTTATATACATCAGTTCATTCGTATTTCTATATACATCTCAGGCTTATTGTATCTTTGTATACACAGAGAGTTTATATCATGTTTAAAACAGCTTTTCTTTATATTGCACTTGTTTTAAATTGTCTTATATTGAAGGGAGTCAGTCAGGTTGAGTTGAGCTGAGCCAGGTAAGCTATTCAGTTTCTTCCATATTTTCCTTCTAGCCTATGTTGCTTAGTTTTCCAGCTTGCATACTCGTACATTCAATGTACTGATGCCAGTTGGCCTGCATCTTATGACGATGCAGACACAGGTACCCAAGATCAGCATCCAGCACGCTGTTGATCCAGCTGAGCACTCCAGAGTCAGTGGTGAGCTTCTTTGCATTCCGAAGGACTCGGTTATTTTGTTCTCTTAGTTTCGTTTTATTAGGATGTTGCGAGGTCTGTCCCAACATCAATCTCAGCATTTTTAGAGGCTTCATAGACAGTCAGTCAGTTAGTATTGAGTCTTTCATCTATGTAAATATTCTATTTTGAGACTTGAGTTTCCTTTTTGGCCAGATTTTTATCAGTTGGGTTGTTTTATGACCTTTCATTGTATTGAGTTATTATGTTGAGTTAGGTTTCCGCTGAGTTAAGAAAGCCAGGACAAGGGTTTGCTTGGGGCCAGCAATGGTCTTCGTTCTTCTTCTTGTATTCTACTAGTGATTCACCTCACCATATAGTCGATTTCAATTTTCATCTTATCCTACTACTTGATTCACCAGAGTCACTGAAAAAGTCCGTTGAATCAATTATTTTTTAAAATAAATAAATAAATATATATATATATATATATATATTTTGTTTCAATGACTAATTTAGATTTATTATTTTGATGGTCAAATTTATTTATGTTTCACTAATATTCTTGTAAAACTTATTATAGATGACCAATTTTTTTTCTTCAAATACAAAATTAAATTACAATATAGACAAAAAAATTAAATTATAATATAGCCACAAAAAAATAGTTTTAATTTTTTTCTTTACACTAAGGAATGAAAGAAAAAATAAAATAAAATAAGAAACTCAAATAATTATAATAAAAGAAGTCAAAAAATAATTTATGTATAAAAAAGATTAAAATATACCTTGAACTTTGTTAGAAGAATTATATATACCCCTAAATAATTTTTAAGAAAGTTAAAAGTAAAAAATATAAATTTAAAACTAACTTTTTCACTTCCGTTAAATGAATGGTATATGTGAACTCATTTTGTAACGGTAGGGGTATATGTGAGCCGTTTGTATAACGGTAAGGGTATATATGAGCCACTTTCATAACGAGGGGCATATCAGTTCCAAATGGCAAAGTTGAGGGGTATATCAGGCCTTTTTTCCTTATATGTTTGTATGCAAATTTTAGCAAAAAATCCAAAAATCAGAAAAAATCCGAGGTTTATTAGTTTGGTTTGATTTATAAATTTAAAAATTCGAAACAATGGTTTGGTTTGGTATTTGAAAAACCCAAAAAATTCCGAATTTTATTAGTTTGGTTTGGTTTATAAATTTAATTTTTTTACACAAATGGTTTGGTTTGATATTTGAAAAACCCGAACCAACCCGATCATGTACACCCCTACTTATGAATTGCCTGAAAAAAACGAAAAGAAAAATGAACTATGTGATGTACTTGGTATGAAGGAAAATGTTTCTTCGGAAATCTGGACTTTTTATTTATTTTTTGGTATTTTATGAGTAAATAAAGAGATATTATGCCAAGAATATTTATATGTTAATTTATAAAGTACTACGAAGACAGAGTGGATTAAGGAGTGGGGAGTGGGAGGTGACGGGGTGGGATGGTTAAAGGGTGGGAGTTGGGGGGATTGAGTGGGTGTGGAGAAGACAATAAACTTGAAATTTCGACTATGCAACAACTTGTTTTCTCTGTTCTAATAAGAGAAGCCATTTTTCTCATTTTTAATGAATTTATTTTCCTAAAAACATATTTTCCAAATATACTGACTAGCCAAAATATAAGAAATTTAGAAAATATTTTTATCCCTACTAAACACACCGTGAAATGATCATTTTAATCTAGGGGAACACAAGATAGAAAAAAAAAAAATACAAAAAGAGGAGAGAGTATTTATTCGTATCATAAAACATTAAGGAAAAGTGACCTTATTGGATTATTAGTTTAATCGTTACCTAAAATTTAAAAATCAAAATCGATTTGGATATTTTAAATAAAAAAAATCTATAAAATTCCTGATCCGATAAACCAATTCTTATAATACAATAATATTTTTTGTTCGATTTTTGATTGAATCATTTCCACATATCCCTACTAACCAGAGGTTGCAAATTTTGCTTATGAAAATATAACCATTCAACTTGCTTGAGTTTGACTTCAGTTTAGAAAAAACTACCTATATAGACATACTTTCATACCATAAATACATATATTCTCACTAGTTTAAAAATATTACTTATAATACGATTTTTTTAATAAATATGCCGTATCTTTTAAAAAATATAATCAAATACACAATTCCATTAAAAGTGGTAATTAATAATTATCCTAACATTATACTTCCTTAATTATTGGGACTTTTTACAATTCAAATCAATTTCTCTCTTTCCAATTCTACTGTTTCCCTCCCCAGTCACACGTCTCCTTTGTATCTTTACCCATACCTATACATTATTATCCTTCATCTTCCATTACCCCTTCTTCTCAACCTACTCAATGCATATTTTGGATGTAAAAATTTCATACCTAACTTTACATAAGCAGCATTATATATAGAGGTAAAGTATTATTTTTTATTAGGTTGATGTATTTTTGTTTGACACCATTTTCATGTATCTAATTCACAGATGTAGTAGTTTCAAAGTTCAAATTTAGGATTTTTTCATTAGTTGAATTTGTTAGTTCTTCATACTATTTTAATGGCTGATTAATATTGACTTTCATTTTATTTGTATGTTTTCGTTAACAATGTTGCGATGGTTGCAGGTTCTGACTATTCATCTTCCAACATTCGAGCGGAGAGTAGAACTAAGTTTAGGAACGATCCAATTAAAATGGCTGACTATTCATCATGTATCTCGCGAATAATGACACATGTATCTCAATTACTCCGTTGATTAAGGAAATAAGTTACAACTAATTAATTTAAACAAATAAAATATGTATCTCTATTTTAAAATTCGGCACATACATGTGTCTCGCGGATTCATACTCATGTATCCTAAGCACGAAATATGGTAGATACTTGTATCTCAATTACTACTCTAATTTAGGAAATACGGTTACAACTAATTAATTTAAACAAATAAAATATGTATCTCGATTTTAAAATTCGACAGATACATGTATCTCGCGAATTCATACTCATGTATCCTAATAAGCATGAAATATGGTAGAGGAAGTAATATTTGAAACTATCGAGAATCTTAGTAATTAGAATCTAAACTAGTGAGATTTATGAAGTTTGCCCAGTTTCGGGATAATTACTTAACCAACCAAATGTACACACTATATTTATCGAATATAGCTAGAGTTTTTTAAAATTCACGTTGTATTATGCAAACAACAAATTCTAAAATTCGTTTTGTATTAGTGAAGCAACACTTTCTGGAAATTGTTTTGTATTAATGACACAACAATTTGCTATATACTAGTGACATAACATTTTGTTCTGATACATCAATTCACTTTGCATTTGTTGTTGTATAATACATAATAAATTATTTTATCATCAATACAAACTGAATTTCAGAAACTCTCGCTATATTCATAGTTATTCAAACTATCACTTTTTTCTGTAAATTCTCCAAATGTATACTCAAGGTACTATTTTGAACTATCATAAAACAAAATGGACCATTTTTGTCATTTTCTCTTAGTTTAGTCAATTATATATTTGCCCAAATAGTAAAACCTCAATAAATAATACTCGGTTAATTAATAATCTCTCTAAGATGATAATTTCTTTCGATCCCAACTTGGACAAATGTAAAAACCACTCATTTCAATAAGATAATATATTTTCAAAAAATTGCTATATAAATATATGGTCCCATTAATATTATAAATTAATAATTCTTTAAAAGTACAAATATATCTAAGAAAATTTAGTAAAATATGATTTTATTATGTTTAGTTTTTTGTTAAAATTTAAATCTAGTTGAAACTTATCTCTAAACTTATTGCATCCAAAAGTTTCGGTGTTGTCTTTTCGAATTGCACCATAAAATTGTGAAGAGTTTAAGATGCAAGTGTTTCCTTACGCGTAACTGGTTCCAAAGGTATTATATCATCTTCAATTTTATCATCAACATTATTTTTTCAATGATATCCACAATTTGTTTTAAGCTCTGGACCTCTGAACATGTATTATTTTCATCCATCCAATAGATTATTAACGTCTATTTTATTGCGGTAACCGAGATCATTAATCATGACCTCAAAATTTTCACAAGTGAGTTCTTTCAAATTTTTTGAGATTTCATCCTTGAACAATTTTTTTCGATTAAATAATACCTCTACAAAGTAATAATATTTGATGGTTCTGCATGTATTAATTTAGAGAGGTTTTAGTGTAGTTTCCAAAGTTCAAGTTTATTTAGTTACAGTTTTGTCCGGTATAATTTCTAATTTCGTTCATTTTAGTCCTATTGTCAAATTGTCAGAATTTGTTTAGACTTTTGTCTTGTAGCTATCTGAGCTCAATGTAAAAAGGGATGAATTGACACTTTTTCTGCTTTGATGAATGGAAAAAACCCTAATGAAACCCTTCTTCGACTGAAAAAATTCTTCTTCTGCTCCGGAATTAGGGTTTTCATCACCTTCTCAGGCGAGAATCTTCCGTCTCAGTAAGTTTTCCTTTAATTGATGAAGTATTTGTAATTTTGCTAGAAGAAAAAGTTGAAAGGAACTGTTTCCTTCGCATTTTGTTCATTAGTACTAGTAGAACAGGGTTCGTCTGCTGTTTTATAATTCGAAAACAGCCTCCCTGTCTTACGAAAGGTAGGGGTAAGGTTTGCCTTCATTCTACGCTGCACTTGTGGGATTACATTGGGTTTGTTGTTGTCTTCTTTGTTTTTTAGCTCTATTTTCTAGTTGATTTAACTTCCACTGCAGGATAGTCCTTTTTCTTGTTTTCAGAAAGATAATTGTGTGTTATGTTGGATTTCATTTCTTGAGTGTATTTGTTCAGTAAATACTAATGCTAATTGACTGATTAAACATTATAATGCTTTTTCTTTATTCTTAATCCTAGATATTTGGTTATCAAGAAAGCACTGTAGATTGATGAATCTTGTTAATAGAACTATAAAGGTAGAGATATCCAGGTCAAAGTTAATGTTTATATATGAGGATCACAGCATAAGATTATCTTGGAAAATGCTGGATGATTAACATACAATCGCATACAACAAATAAGTAACATTAGAAAATGATTAAAAGAAAAAAACAAGAAATTAGCATGTCACATAAGGCAAAACTTTACCACTACTGTGGTTCCACTTTGTTTGGCATGGTTCAGAGTACCAAGGTCAAAGTACTTAATTTTCAGTATGAATTTCGGACAGAGACTTTTAAAGTTCTTGAAAATAAAGTTTGCATATTTGAAAACTACAAAAAAAGTATTACTAGTCAAAATAGTCAACAACTCAATGTATTTAAGAAAAACTTGGTCAAAGAAGAACATCTTTGACTCTCCAAATAGTAAGTGTGCAAAGCAAAGCGGAATGGAGGGAGTAGCTTCTATATTTTTCTTGATGTTAGGTTCAATGTTTGTTAGGTGCGTTTTTCCCTTATCAAAAAATAACATATTTGCAAGCACATTGGCATTTTCTCTGCATGCCAAGTTCATATTTCATCTCACAAGGTGGTGGTCCTCCTTTTGTGTCAGAATGGAAAGACAAATGTGAATCTAAGTAGTGGTTAACGGGGGATCACCATCTGAGAGTTTAAGGTGTTGAAGTATTAGGAAGACAGAATAGAATATAGATATGGCCAACATTGTCCGACATGAAAGTTTGCTTATACAGAGGAGTCAAAGCCAGATCTTTGAACGTTGTTGCATTTATAGTGGTTTTTCAATCTTCCTGAAAGATGGCGTTAAGAATTTGTTTATTTAGGCTAATTTCTAACTGATAATTCTAAACTGTGATATCGTACATAAACAGATTGAAATGAATAATATCCAACTATGGGTTTGCCAACAGTCATCTGTATAGTGTTTGTATGTTGTGTGTTCATATTACTTAATATTGTTTGAGGTTATAACATTGCTCAAGAATCAAATAATTTGGTATGGTTGATATAGGTCTATGGTACTTGAGATTTATGAGCAAGTTTGGCTAATCTCATATGAGCTTATCAAATGTGAAATTTATGAAAAGAACTCTTTAGGGATTAAAACATGTAAGAAAGAGTACATCAACATTGTTATTAAATGTGTTGCAGCAGCTATTGTGCCTATCCAATGTAAACTCTATGAAAAGAACTCTAAGGGCCCGCTTGGACATGCGATATGAAATTGTGTTGTGAATCATAATGATATGAAATTGAAGTTTTGTTTCGACATGCAATTTGGATTTCTCAAGTTGTATTTTTTACCCCATGACCACGAAAACCCCACAAGTTGTGAAAACTATCAAAATTTTCCCTATTTTTGTTATAATTTTACTAGATGAGCAAATTATAGTTTACAAACAAGATATTAGAATATCCTAAGGCGTTAGGCGTCGCATTGATAAATCACATATCTCCATGTCCCTTTTATAAATAAATGTTTGGCAGTTATAAACTTTCAAATAAACCTAATTTTACAAAGATCCACTAGTCAACAATAGCAGTAATTTATTATTCTTTAATGTAATCCTTTCACTTGGTACGAACGTGTCTTTTTTTGTAAAATTTAAAATGATGGGTCTTCTTTTGTTTTTACAAAATATAAACTTACGAGTCAGGTTTACTTTAAAAAAAATTGAAATCATGATTTGGAATCTCAAATCATGCTTTTTTGGAGAATTTGGAATTCGATATCATGATTCTAAATCGATGTACAAACACTTATTTGAAATCATGACTTAATATCGCATATCCAAACGCAAACTTAATTGGGTTGAGACATATTCTAAAGAGTACACCAGCATTGTTCTTAAATGTGTTGTGTCTTCCATTATGGAAAAAGTGGTGCATGTTACGAAGTAAATGCATAACACAAATTTATGGAATGTGCCAATGTGGGACTGATGAATAGGAAGAGAGTATATTATGGACAATCCTTTGTGATAGGTAGATTCTTGATAAGTTGTGGTTGATATTTCGGAGGGACGGTAATCTATAGAAGAACTGGTATAAGGTGGGGAATGAAAACTTACAACTGTAAAACCTTTTGGAGAAATTGCCAAAGCTTTTTCTCTATTGGCTATTTGGCTGCACTATGCATTTTTTACCGATAGTGAGGTGCATGGTTTAAGGAGGAAAGGGGATCTAGAGTAATTATGTTGGAATCCCTCTTCATTTGTGATGCACGGGAAATTTTCCAGCTTCCATGGATTTGTGGATGTGGATTTTGACTTGGCCAATCTATAAGATAGTTGTGCTACCTAGCAGCTAAATATTTTGGAGCTATGTAATTGAAGAAGTGTTTTGTTTTTGCACCTGATTCGTAGGATAGAGAACACAAAGACACCAAGAGAAGTTGCATTTCACTTTATATATTGCCTGTGAACCGACTCTTACATTTGAAAATTTGGGAGGAGAATGATGAGGTGGTGTTCATGTTCAAGGAATATTGGGAAGATCCGAACCGTACTCTGTTGCATTTAGCGTTGCCTTACAGCTATGGTCTCTAGCATTTTCCATTAACTTGAATAGAGGTAGAACTAGGGCCATAAGCAATTACAGAGATGGAAGATGCAGAAGAGCGGCAGGGTGAGGAAGTAAGCATTGAGTAACTAGATTGTCTTTTTTAAATACCAGGAAATGAGATAAGCTTAAGATTGTACTTTTGGGTTAAAAAGAGTGTACCTTTTTTTTATTAAGAGTTGGCAGGACAACATAGTTGACTGTTGTGGAGCAGTGAACTACATTCTATTAGGTCCCTTTTGGCCATATGTTGTATTTCTTTGTTTGCAATTACTGAAGTTCAGTGTTTGCAAATAGTGGGTTGGCCTGTTGGTATTTGAAACTTTGGTAAAATATTGAAAAACTTGTTGAAGAGTTTTTTCTAGTGAAATAATGTCTTGCACTAACTCATTAATTTTTATTCCAAATGAAATTCATGTCCAAACAACTTAAACTTTCAAATCCTCTTTTCCAATTTCAAAGTCGGATACTCTTTTCGATTTTAACCAACTATCGTCCAAACACCTATTAAATAGTTTTAACACCGGCTTGGTGTGCAATATGTGAATATATTTTGATTTATAAAGAACATACCATTAAGGAAGTCTTGTCCTTTAGAAATATGCATTTATTTGATATCTGTCAGGTATAGTTTAAATTTCGATAGTGAGAACTTTACTCATCTTTGCTAAAGGAAAAAAAAGTAAAAGATCTGCATAGAGTATTTTGTCTCTTTCTAGATTTGAGCACCATTCAGATCTCTTTTTCTTCTGGTTTCTATATATCTATCTGACTATCAGGTTTGTCAAAATGGTTTACAGTTGGTGGCGAAGATGTCGGACTATCCCGTGCTTGATAATCTCCCCATTGATAAATGGAAGGTACCAGCATTAAGGGAAGAGCTTAAGAGGAGGAACTTAATGACAAAAGGTTTGAAGGATGATCTTGTTAATCGATTAAATAATGCTATCCACAGAGAAAGAGGAGAACCTGAGGTTGAAGAGAGTACTGAAATAAATCCCGATGTTCTTGAATGGAATAATAAAAGTATGGGGCATCCCCAAAACAAAGTTATTAAGGGTTCTGATCGTGATACTGATCCTGCCAATGCCACCAAAGTCTTGGATGAGGTTGCAACTGGGGGTACTGATGACGTTTCTGGAGTAAGAGAACATTCAGAGGCTTCTGTTGGTAGCACTAGTGTTATAAATGAGATTGTGTCTACTGATCAATTTGTTGAAGTCAAAATTGATAAGAAACACGAGGTTATCGATTCTTCTCTGAACAACGATGTTGTTGATGAGGTATCTGGAGTTAGGTATGCTGCTATTCAGAGCAGTGGCACTGTACAGGACATTGAGGATATGCGAATTTCATCTTCTGAGGGAGTGCTTGAGGATAACCTTAGGAGACAAGAGAATGATGCCGAGTTAACCCCAGTAACATCCAAGGATGCCTTGGGAAACAATAGCATTAAGTTGGAGGATGAGGGTCTGAAACTCTCAGGCATGGATGCTGAGTATGATAAGTCCAATCCAGACACTCAGGTATATGAGGTCAACCCTGATTTAGGGTCTCAAGTAAAATCTGACACATTTTCTACTGATACTTTGCCCATTAATGAAAATAATGATTTAAATGATAATTTGAATGCTGATAATGTTAAATTAGTAACTGAAGTTGTTAGGCAAGAGAAGGAGTCATCCAGCAAAGATCTGTCAGATGTTGGTAGCATTTATCCATTGCATGATCAGATGCCACATGAGATGCAGGGTCATGTTGGAGAAACTGTTGATGACAAATCTTCGGAGGTGAAATTTAGCATGAAAAAGGCCAATGCAGATCAGGTTTCTGTTGCTGTTACCAAGGTAGAGCATGGTTTAGAAAGTAACACATTGAATAATAGTGAGCAAAAAGATGTTCAGTTTGAAAAAGCTAGAACTTTAGGTGATGTTATAGACCCTAGTTTGTCACCCAAGAAAGTTGAGGTATCTGCTGAAGATAAACATTGTATTGCTGCTTCCAATGATGATAGAAAAGGTATGGAAACACTCCCTTCTAATAAAGAAAATGACTGTTCTCTTCCTTCCTAAGGCTGGTTCTTCCAGATCTTATGTGTGTAGTGTATGTGCATGCAGTTTTGAGCAAGATATCTGAGGTAGCGGATGATCAGAATATGGAAAAGATAAATTTGGATCAATCTTCAGCTGATGATTCCATGGAGGAGGATGTAGTAGAGACAAAGCATGTGGCTTTTGATCATATTTCTAAGGAGAATGATAAGACTGAAGAGTCTATTACGGGAATGACAAAAGAGCCCAAAGTTGTACGAAATGGCTCTTCTGATGCAACGCAGCAAGACAATCCTTCTGAGAAGGTTGAGTCTCCTCAAGAATCTAAAGATGGGTCTCCTGAATTGTCAGAGAAGAGAAAGTTTCAAGGTACTCATGTCTTCTCCTTAATTCTTGCTCTTCCCTCCCTTTTTCTTGAAAAAATTCTCTCCTTTACCTCCTTCTCTGCACATGTTTATTGATAGCATTTCTTTATTACTGCTACTATTCTATAGGGGTCGTTTGGTGTGAGGGATAAGAATATATAGTTCTGGGATAAAAGTTTGTTGTCTTGTTTGGTTGACATGTTTGGGATAACTTATCCCACCATTTATACCATAGTGATGGGATAAGCTATCCCATATACAGGGTGGTATAAGTTATCCCAGGATAACTAACCCCAAGATAATTAATCATGGGATAACTAGTTTCCAACCAAACGACCCCTGGATTTGGTGCTTCTATATATTATTATTATTATTAAAATATTTTAGAGTTGTTGCTTTTGCACTCTTTTAATTGATTTGATGAAGCTCTAAATAGTAAAATTTGTGTACTTTTTAGATGTTATCAAACGTGGGTTTTAAGTATGTTGTTTATTAGTTTGTTCAGTTATGAATGTTAAATCTTCTGATTGACCCACATGTTTTATGGTGTTATCAGTTATGATCTAGAAATTGCCACACAATTGCCCAAGATTCCATTGTGAAAGTTAAAGCTCACGACTGGTTTGCAGCTAAAGTTGGGCTTATTAGCGTGTTAAGTGTATTGAAATTTCTAACACCAATGATAGATATTGGATTCGTCTTGCAATGCTGGATATGAATACATTCACTCTGGATAATTTAGCGATAATGGGAATTAACAAAAATGATCTATTATTTTCTTGTTCTATAATTTGGTTTCATAAGATATTTGACTTGGGGGTGAATTATTTGTTGATGAAGTAGGAGATGGGAGTAAAGAGCCTGCAAAAAGGCAGCGCAAATGGAACACTGAGAATTTGAATACTGCTGAGCCACAAAATTCAAATATTGCATTATCAGAGAACTTGGTTCAGACCATCCCTGTCAAGCCTATCTTTGGCAGGACCGACTCTACAGTTAGTGAGGATGCACCCAAGGAGCGCCTTGGTGAGTATTTGTTTTCTTGGTAAATTGCATGAGTTTCAGATGCAAGAATAGCAGCATAAGAATAATTTGTTTCTCTGTTCTGGTAATATTCCAGTACCAAAGTTTTCCAAAACAGCCACTAATTGGTTCCTTTGTTCTGGTAATATTTCAGTACCAAAGTCTTCCAAAACAGCCACTAATTCTCTCAAAATTGAGAACTTCTTGCGGCCCTTTACACTGAAAGCTGTGCAAGAGCTCCTTGCAAGAACTGGTGAAGTCTGCAGTTTCTGGATGGACCAGATAAAGACCCATTGCTATGTCACGGTAGAATCTTGCTCTCTCCTTCTGCATTTGATACTCCTCTTAGACCATATGGTCATCGAGTTTCTCTATTTTAAATTATACTATTTGCAAGGACGCTATTAGCCTAGTTGGCTGGCTACTCTTAGGAAAGGATAGGATTGGGGACATTTGTCATGGGGATGGGCATGATTTGAAACCTTGATGCTGCGCCAGTTGGCCTAAGTCCCTCTGGTCGATTTGTCATAATGTAGCATGTTAATGTGCATCATTGGCCTTCTGAGGTGCATACCCAAATAGCAATGGCCTTTGCATGCCTTGGCTTCTTGGCATGCTGTCTTGAATTTGTTAGAAAAGTGTCTTACTTTGCTTCCTTAGCGTCTCTGGTTACTAAATTGATGAATATTTTCTCTCAACAGTATTCTTCGGTAGAGGAAGCCATAGAGACCCGAAATGCTGTTTACAACCTCCAATGGCCACCAAAAGGAGGTCGTCTCCTGGTTGCAGATTTTGTTGCTCCCCAACAGGTGCAAACCAAGATAGACGGACGGGAGCCTGCTACTCCAGCGACAAATCGCAGTCCTGCAGTGCCTCCAGCTTCATCCTCTGTTCAAGCACCACCTGCTTGGCAGCAGGGTCGCAAACAGCAGGTTGAGTCAGAACATCCACTAATGCGCCAGCCACCACCTGCTCCTCCTACTGCGCTACCAATAAAAGAGAGGTTGGCTCCACCTGCTTGGCAGCAGGGTCGCAAACAACAGGTTGAGTCAGAACATCCACTCACGCGCCAGGCACCACCTGCTCCTCCTACTGCGCCACCAATAAAAGAGAAGTTGGTTCCACCTGTTGCTGATAAAAATGACCCCCCTGTTATTACTTTGGATGACATCTTCAGAAAGACCAAAGCCGCTCCCCGTATCTATTATTTACCGCTGACTGATGAAGAAGTTGCTAAAAAGCTTGCCAGTAGAGGAGGTGCTGAGAACTAGAGCTTTTAAGTGAACAAAGGACTTGTTAGATAGATGGTATATGGAGAGGTGTTGCGATGTAATGCTGATAACTGCTAATTTACCCTCACAGAGAAGTTGCAGTCTTGAGGCTCACTTAAGACCTTGCTTTCTTTTCTATTTTCGTTGTTAATGGTTACTGCAAGGTTGAAGTCTCTACTGTATTTTACTTTGGGTTGAAGAAACATAACAAAATGTGCAGAATCTGCCTTCTTTCTTCATCCAGATTCATCGTTGAATTGCGCCGTAGCTGTAAATGCCATTTATCTCCATTCGTTTTCTTTAGTGTAAAATTTTAAGAAATCGAAGAGATGCATTGATGATGGAACCAGTTGCTTTTTTTGAGTTTTCAGGCCTCACTCAAAAATTAGCTATTGATATCTCCCCCTGTGAAATATTATATACTCCAACAACTACCCTCAATATAATATTATATATTTCCCCCTGTGACCTAACTTTATAAGGAGCTTTTGTTTTTCTCCATGTTTTCTTCTCTAAATATTTATCCCATGCAAGGCTCAAACAAATGCACACATTTCATACTCCTAGTAGCAATCCATGCAGTAAACTTATGCTAAATCATAGTTCACTCAAAGGCTAAAGTACAAAAATAGAGAAGAGACAAAGCTAAATATATATAAACTAATAAATAATAGTTGAACTGGTGAAAGTATTCATAAATCATAACACAATTTTTTCAGACCTTAAGCTCGAGTGGTTATACTTATAATTTTATACTAATTATTATCGGATCATCGATTAATCTTTTCTTTTAAATAAAACAATGCCTTGACTTTGCCAAACGTTTTAGCCTTGACAAACCAATCTAAGTCAAATTTCAGACGCAAAGATGCTTCATATAATTTTCAAAATAGCTAGATTTATAAAATTATAAACATCAATCCTGCTATTAGATTTATAATTTTTTTTTTATAAAAAACAAATTATAAACTTCTATGATGCGGTTAGATTATAAAAGAATTATATAATGATAGTACCAAAATTAGCTATTAATGCACTTCCCCTCAAATTCACAAGAGTATAAGGCATATATGTATGACGACCCGAAAGACCCGATTCGTCCATTGGCAGTAGCAGCAATAGACAGAGGTTAACAAATCTTATCTATTTTCTCTCTCGCTCTCCGCTTTCGATAAATTTCACAGCTTCCATAAATTAAAACCCTAGAAATTCTCTTCATCTCAAGCCATTAGCATTTTACAAACTCGATTTTCTTCCAAAAGAACAGTTTTTTTTTTGTGTCATTTTTATATAAATTATACGTGTATTGATATATATATATTATTAACAGATCAATATAATTTAGGATTACTGTATTGTTTTGCTTAGATTTGTATTAATTTGTTTCTGTTTCTAACAATTGTGTGCTTTTGTTTCTGGGATTAGGGTTTCTCTCGTTTCTGTTCTGGAACTAGGGTTTTCACCATCTTTTTGGTCGAACGTTTCGGTCTTTTAGTGACTATTTGCACTGGTAAGTACGCATTTCATTAATTGTCTGAGTTTTTGATTTTTCACTTTCGTGAATAGAAAATGTTGAAACGTTTGGGCTGGGTAGGAACAAAGATTTTTTTTTAGTGTAAAGTTATGCAATTGGGTTAAAATTAGAAGCAAGAAAGACATGGGGGTTAATATATTTGAGTTTTAAAGTTAAAGCTACTGTTTTCTTGCAATTTTTTTATTTGGAAGACTGAGATCTAGCTACTTTATATTGGACTTGTGATTGGATATGGTTTCTTTATGGACAATTTTGTTCATAGCTCTAGTAAGTTCCACCAGGTAGTCGTTTTCTTAAGATGCTTAATGTTGGATTTACATTTCTTGAGTGCATTTGTTCAGTAAATACCGATGCTTATTGACTGATTAAACCTTATATCTTTCTTCTTAGTCCTATATATTTGGCTACCACTTATATAGGCGCGGAAAGCACTTAGCACCCTCTGCATGAGAGGAGCTTGTATTGATATTTAAATATGAGGATCTTAGCCGAATATTTGAAAAATGTTGATTAAGGGTGTGGTCTAGTGGTCAATGAAGTGGGTTGAGCACCACGAGGTCTCAGGTTCAAATCCCAACAGGGATAAAACACTAGGTGATTTCTTTCCATATGTTCTAGCCTTGGTGGATAGAGTTACTAGTAGTGGTGGTAGGTAGGAATTAATTGAGTGGTGCGCAAGCTGATCCGGAGACCATAATTACCCAAAATAATATATTGAAAAATGTTGATAACTAACATAAAAGATAAAACCACATACAACAAATATAGAAAATGATAAAAAAAAGAAGTAGCAATTAACATATCACAACAACGACATACCCGGTATAATCACAAAAAGTTACTAGCTTCTATTTTTTGCGAGGTTCAGTACGTGCATTAGTATAAATATTTACTAGGAGTCTTTTGCCATAAAAAACAACTTCTTTGCAAGTAACTGGTATTATCTATGCATGTCAAGTTTAAATTTCATCTTGCAGGGTGGTCCTTATTTTGTGTTAGAATGGAAAGATAAATATGGGGATGTAGGTTGTGGTTGATTGGGCATCACCATATGAGTGGTTAAAAGTAAGGTCTAGAAGTATTAGGAAGGCATAGGATAGATATAACCAACAATTTCAGATAAATTTTTTTACTATATAGAGGTGCAAGACCAAATCTTTGAAGGTGGTTCTATTTACTGTGGGCTTAAATCTACCTGAGATGATGTTGAGAATTTAATGATTTAGTTGGCATGTGGGCATCTTCCCATCCCCAGGCCGCACTTGTGGGATTACATGGGATATGTTGTTGTAATAGGCGTGTGGTTAATTTGATGATATTTGAAGTTAAGTTTGCTTCAATTTCATATGTGAGTGAAGGAAGAATACATGAGCTTCAAGCAAAGAAGGCGGTAACCTCGGGATGTCGCAAAGTCAACGGTCTCACCGGGAACTAGACAAGCACCTAGATGTTAATTCTTAAGCCCTAGCCCGAAATTCTTACTTCATTCATCAGAGTTCCAAGCCTGTAAGCACAACTACACATTTCCTAGCTCGAGGTTGCGCCCACTCCGTGCCCCGTTCTGGTTCCGGAACTAGAACGCCCTTTCCTTCCTGATATACAAAGGAGAGCGGAGCTTCAACACCAGCTGTCCTTCTATTTTATCGGGAGGAACTGCCTTGTTATCAAAAATGGAGTTGGGTAAAGCAAACTCTCTCCTTGGAGGAGCATAGGTTTAGTCAAGTAGAACTGGGTTGCATGCTTGATGCTCTGATCGAAAACAAATCAGTGGGGTCATGCCGGTACGATAAGAAAGGGTATTTGGAAATTGAAATGATGTTGGACATGCATTTCACTTGGAAAAATGGTGAAATCTTATGAGGGAAATATTCTTTTCTTACTTGGTAAGTTGTTAGAACTAGCAACTTAAGTTGAAGTGAAAAATTGACTGTGTCTTAATAAGCCCTAAGGCTAATTTCTAACTGATAAACCCTTAGGGGTGGCCCAGTGGTTTGGGCTTGGGACTTCCATGTAGGAGGTCTCAAGTTCGAAACCCCTTGCCAGCGAAAGCAAGGGGTCTGCCTTCTGTGTCGAGCTCGTCGGACCGGGCTTGCCTAGTGCGGGTTACCTCTCCTATGTGGTTTGCGAGCTATTGCATAGGAGCGGGGGTTTTACCCTGTGCGCACCCAAAGGGTAACGGCTGCGGGTTTCCCTTGCCATCAAAAAAAAAAAAAAAAGAGATTAAAGGAAGATAATCTTGTGTTGCAGGCAGTGGCCTTGGTTGTGTTCTGTACCTCTATGTTGGACCATTGTGGCTTCTCATTGCGGAGGCTTTTGACTTGTCAAGAAAATATTTTAGGAAGCCTATGTAGCAAAATCTTTATTATTGTTTGATAGTTATTGTGTCTTAAAACTCTTGTCATTTACTACCTTTGTTCCAACATCTAATACTATTGAAACAGGTTTTATTAAGGATGACAGCCCATATTCGTCCAGCAACCAATCCGGTACATATTATTTTGAATTTTCCAGGCCGCTGAGAACAATGGATCACCTTCAACAGGTAACAAAGTGTTAACCTTGCCATAAAAATAAAATAAAAAATTCTAACTGATAATTCTATAATGTGACTGAACAAGAACTCTTGAGGATTGAGACATGTATGAAAGAGTACACCAAACTGTTCTTAAGTGTATTGTAGCAGCCATTGTGATTATGAAATGTAAACTCTATGAAGAACTATTAAGGGATTGAGACATGTACGAAAGAATACACCAGCATTGTTCTTAAATGTGTTGCGGCAACCATTTTGAAAGAGCAAGTGCATGATAGAGAGGAACACATAGAACAGATGGGACTGACTAAAAGGAAAGAGTATTGCACTGACGATCCTTTATGAATAGATATATTCTTGATAAGTTGTGGTTGATGTTTGGGAAGGATAGAAATCCATAGAAGAACTGGTATGAAGAGGGTAACATAAAATTATGACTGGAAAATCTTTTAGAGAAATTGCTAAATAGCCAAATCTTTGTTTCCGTTGGCTGCCCCATGCATTTTCACCGGTAACCTGGTGGTCGCATAGAATGAGGTGCATGGTTTCTGGAGAAAAAAAGAGACGCTGATCTAGGGTTGTCAGATTGGCTGGAATCTCTCTTCATTTGTGATGCATGTAAATAGTTGCAGCATCCAGTCAATTTGTGGATATGGACTTGGACAATCTAGAGGACATGTTGAGAGTGAAGATATTTGTGCTCTTAGTAGCCTCATATTCTGGAGTCTATGTAATTGAAGAGTCGTTTTTTTGCCTTTGGTTAGTAGGAAAGAGAATGCAAAGATGCTGAGGAGTTGCATTTTCACTTTGTATTTAGCATGTGAAGCATTTCTTACATTTGAAAATTTGAGAGATGGAGACGATAATGATGAGGTGGTGGTTCATGTGCAAGGAGTATGAGGAAGATTGGAACCATTTTTTGTTGCATTATAAGAGTTTCTTACAGCTATGGGCCCTAGTGTTTCATGTTTTGACGTCATGTAGGTGTTATCTCGAACAGGGGCAGTGCTAGCACCTGAAGCAATTACATAGATAGAAGGTACAGAAAACTTTCAAAGTGAGGAAGTAAGCATTAAGACGGGTTGTCTTGTGGATACTGGGAGTTACCTGAATTTAATATTGACAAGATGTTAGTAATAAGACAATTCTTAGTGTTCCATATGTATTTTTGTGTTACAAGGAGTATATACCTTTTCTTATTAAGAGTTGGCAAGACAGGATAGTTGAATGTTGCTG